TGGGACTGTCAAATGGTACAACCACTGTGGAAAGCAGTATGGTGACCCCTTAAAAAGTTGGAAATAGACATACCATTTGACCCAGCCATTCCATTATTAGGTATATATCCTAAAGAAGTGAGAGCCATGACAAGAACAGACATATGCACACCCATGTTCATCGCAGCACTATTTACAATAGCCAAAAGACGGAAACAACCTAGGTGTCCATCAACTGAGGAATGGATAACCAAACTTTGGTACATACACACAATGGGATACTATGCAACCCTAAAGAATAACCTAGAATCTGCAAAACACCACATAACTTGGATGAACTCGGAGGACATTATGCTGAGTGAAGTAAGTCAATCACATAAGGACAAATATTGCATTAGTCTGTTATTGTAAAAACCAAGGAAAGGTTTATCTATGGAAGGAAATTTTCTTTGTTGGTTACCAGGGGTGGGAGGCGGGGGGGGGGCACTGTTAGATAAGTAGAGATAAGTATTGATTTGGGTGAACAGAAGGACAATGTACCAAATGTGAGGGATCAACATGGTGGCATCGAGGAAGATGGAGACATAGAGAGGTACATGGGAGGTACAGACAACAAAGATGAACCCTTTTACACATACATTACTGCGTTGTCAGTGAAGGCAAACATGGGTATTTGAGTGGATAGATGGGTGGACAGGCTGAACTATTAGGTACATCTATGAAGTGGCAAGTGTACCCAAGGCCATATATGGGGTTGGCAAACAATAGTCCTATAAGTTTATTTGTATGATCTGAATTCCCAGGTGTATAGTAGAGCTGACAAGGATGTAGTCACTTCTTGGTCACAGCCAGCTACCCAGAGGGACTGAGTAGTTGAACCTGTGGGCTCAGGACCATAGTCATATGGGACATCAAGCTCAATTGGCATAACATACTATACAAAACATTGTTCCCCCTCCCCCTTTGGCAAGTAGCAACTGGGATCTTAAAAGCCTGCAAGCAGCCATCTGGATGCAATGATGGGTCTCTCCTTGTCCAGAGCAAAGAAGAATGAAGAAAACCAAAGATTCATAGAAAGAATTAGTCCTAGCAACTGGTACACCATGCGATCCACAGCCTATACGACTATGAGACCAGCAGAACTAGATGGTGCCTGGCTACCAATGTCAACCACTCGGAGGGGGATCTATGTAGGAGACCCTGAATAAAGAGGGAGAACAATGTGGAACAAAACTCAAAAGCTTTGGGAAAAAAAGTGGAGGGGACACCAGGTTTGCTGGTCCAATAGAGCCTGGTGGAACCACTGAGACTATGGCCCCTAACTGCCCTTCAGGTCTAGAATTGAACCCACACCTGTGGCTTCCAGCCAACCAAAAGACAGACTAGGAGTTGAACACTTCCCTGAGGTAAATACACTCCTTGGAGAGAACAATTATGGGAGAAAGAAGGGCTGTTTATGCACAGGGAGACAGCTCAGGGGGCAGGGGTGCATGGAGGGATGGACACAGGAAAGAGGTGACTGTGGAGAAGAAGTGGGAGGGGAGCTGTTGCATTGTGGTGAATTGTGGTCAATGTCACGAGACAAAGTGTATGTGAACTGCTGTATGGGAAGTGAATTTGGTCTGTAAATTTTCACCCAAATCACAATTTAAACAAAAAAAAAAAAAAAAGAAGATCTCAAAAAAAAAAAAAAAAAGACAATGGTCTTGCATATGTACACCTATGTTCATCACAGCACAATTCACCATAGCAAAGAGATGGAAACAATGTAAATGCCCATCAACGAATGAGTGGATAACCAAATTATATCCACAAAATGGAATACTATGCCACACTAAAGAACAATGAGGGATACGTGAATCATCTTGCAACATGGATGAACCTGGAAGACATTATGCTGAATGAAAAAGTCAATCACAGAAGGACAAGTACTATATGAGCCCAACACTGTAAAAAGACAGAAAAGGGCTTGCTTGGGAAAGGGAATTCACTTAGTAGGTTACCGGGATGGGGAGGGAAAGGGAGGGATTAATTTTGGGCTAGTTGAGTTCTACACACTGACATGGGTTATTGTTGTGTGCCGTCGAGTCGGCCTCGACTCATAGCGACCCCTCCTTGGGTTGCTGAGGCAGTATCACTACAGAAGTAGATTGCCCAACCTTTCTTCCAAGGAGTGGCTGGTGGGTTTGAACCACCAGACTTCTGGTTAGCAGTCAAGTACCTTATGCACTATGCTACCAGAGTTCCTCTGACATGGCTAGGGGGAGGAATATACGGGAAGGATTTATGACCACCATGATGATATTAGGAAATGGGAGGACACCAAATTGTGCACATAAGAGATAGACGACAGATGCTAATACCAACCAATGTGTCCATAATACTGTATTGCCATTGACACCAAACACTAGGCTATACAGATAAACACATAAACACCTGAGATGATCAGACAGGGGTCAGTGAACAGAACTATACTCTAGACCAAGGATAGATTCAGCTGAGAGTAATCTTGCACAGATACCAGTGATACAAAATACCTGCAGTCCTTACAGAAACAATAGAAGACAGACACAGAGTAATCCCTCACAGACAACCAGACACTATGGGAGAGAGATCCAATAATCTACTGTTTTAGGACCATAGTACTGGGGGACACCAGAGTCAGTTGGCACAACAAAATACATAAAAGCATTGCTCCACATCCTACATTGGTGAGTAGCGCCTGGGGTCTTAAAAGCTTTCAAGCAGCCATCTAAGGCGCAGCTGATAGTCTCCTAGCATAGGAAGTGAAGAAGAATGCAAAAAAAAAAAAAGGAAAAGAAGTGAAGAAGAATGCAAAAAAAAAAGAAAAAAACCAACAGCACTTAGAAGCAATCAGCCCTAGGACACAATGGCCCTTTAGACCAGAACTAGATGGTGCCCGGCTACCAATGACAACCACTCAGGAAAGGATCAAATCTGGAGATCCTGGATAGAGTGGGAGGGAAAACATGGGACAAAATTCAAAAACTCAATCATGACCAGAATTACTGGTCAGATGAAATCTGGTGAGACTCCCAATACTTTGGCCCTGGAGTACATTCTGCCCCTGGAATAAAATGCACCCCCAGGGGTGGGCTCTCAGCCCAATAGTTAACAAGATGTACACGCAGATCACTCAACCTAGGATAACGCACCCACATACTCTATGGTAATATATATCCCTTAGAGCAATAGACCATGAGACACCAGAGGACCAACCTTCAAATTGAGGAAATGCAGGAGAAACAGGAGTGCATAAATATGAGAGGCACAGGGGGAGGGTTACAAGGTAGGGAGGGGAGGAGACTGGGTTAGGGTTGGACATGGCAAATGGGGAAAGAAACTAAATGTATGCATTACGTTGAATGTAAAACAAGCTCTTAAAATAAATAATAATAATAATAAAAAAAGACAATGGTGTTATTTTAACTTGGAAGGGCAGTGTTATAGCAGAACTCTGGTTGTTTTTTAAAAGACAGTCTTTTAGAGACCCATTATGAAATATTTACAAATGAAACACCATAATATCGTGGATTTACTTCAAAATAATCCAGGCTAGGGTGGTGAGGAAGACATCTGTGAGAGTATAGAGCAAACAAGATTGGCCAAAGTGATCATTGCAATTGAGTAATGGGGACATGGGGTTCATTCTACACACTATTTTCTCTATTTTTAAAATACATTGTTTGAAATTTTCCATAATAAAAAGACAGTTGTCTGTGGAGATGCCAACAAAAAGCAGAAGACATCTCAGGCTGTACATATTGATACAAAAACATTCAGAATATGGGAGGAGGTGGTGAGAGGAACAGTGCCTGGAGGCTGAGCTCCATCCTGAGAGGCCTGTGACAGGCAGGAGCAAGCCAAAAAGGGGCTGTGGTGACGGGACTCCAAGTCTTGACTCATTCATATGAGCTGAAAGACCTGGGGTGTTCAGCCTGGAGAGGAGAGACTTTGAGGGGGCAGGACGAACTGTTCATACTCACAGGAAGGGTTGTCCTAGGAAGAGAGGCTCTGTCTTGGTATGTGTGTCTGTGTGTGTGTTGGTGCAAGCTCTGCCCAGGGGCCTTTGACCAAGTCTTTCCCTGGAGCTTCTCTGCCCTCTTCCCCTCCCTAAACTATTCTCTCCACTCCCTTCCCCAGTTTAGGCCAAGAGGAAACAATGAGGCCTTGCCAGCCAAGTGAGCATCTGTTAGTTCTGTAAGTCTTGGACAACATGAAGCTGCTCCCCTCCATTGGCCTGAAACACCCTGTCTTACATTTCTGCAATGAGGCCTAACTTGGCCCCAAAACCTCTCCAGGGGAAAGGCTGGACTGGGCTTGCTCTCCACACTGACACAGCACTAATGCCTCACATCTGGGCAGAACTGCATTCTGTACACAATGGTGCAACTGACTATGACCTCATCCAAGCCTCCCAACAAACTTAGGGCCAGTGCCCTAACAACTACCCCTGTATTTCCTGGTCTACCCACCATGGGGTCTGACCATGGCACTGATGTCACCACATTACAGAAAACACACTGGTGACCCCAGTCCTGAACTCAGCTCAGCCAATAAGTGCTGGATGACCATGGGAAACCTTCTCTTCCCCATGCCTCTGCTGCCCCTTATGTAATGGGTAAAGTCATCCTAAGCCTCTGCCTTCAGATGGAGCTTATCCACCATCATACTGGGTTGCCCAGAGCCTGCCCAGAGACTAGACCTTGACTTTTAGCTACAAGGACAGAACAGGGTGAGTAATGAAGAGGTTGCCTCCTGGACCAGAAGCTCCAGCAAGGCGTGATCTGGGCGCTTTCCATTTCACCCATACATATTGCAGCCCCACTGAACAATGTCTCTTGGACCCTCTGTTTCCTTATCAGTAGAAAGGGGCTCTGACAATGCCTGCTTCACGGGACTGCTGGGGAGCTCCAACCAGGCAACACGTGTGAAAGGCTAAAGGATGGTTATAATGGATCTTGAACAGCCAAGACTGTGGCTCCCCAGGGTTGCCTTACTTCCTTCTTTCCTTCCTCCCCTCCACCCTCCTGGCTCTGCCAGTTGGGAATGGACTTGGATGCTGGGATATTTTCTCTGGCCTGGCTCCTGCTCAGGGCCTGGTGTGCAGCCTGGACAAGGGCCATGGGTGGAGCATCCGTGGGCTGTGAGAATGGGCTGCCGGGTTGAGGCCAGAGGTCAGGCACATGCTGGTCCAGCAACCCTGGTTAAAGAGAAAGGACCACTGGTTACCTGTCCTCTGTGGTAGGAAGTATGGGCCTCCCACCATTTGTGAGAAGGAGACCTTTTATATCTGTGATCCAAACACTAAGAAAGGGCTTACAACTCAAATGATATCTCCTGTGCTGGGTGATAAGAAATCTTTTCATCATAGACATAGTCTGTTTTGACCATAGTCAATATAATATAATAATAAATTTGACCACAGTCAATATTTGTATAAAATTTTTTGATTCATTCAAAACCACTTGTGGTTTTAGACTTTTTTTTTTTTTTTTAATGCAGCAGAGCACTATTTTCAAACAGCTATATGAGGAACTCCATTATGTAAAGCTGCTGCGGCTAAAACAGGAAAAGGACCCCTGGGCACCCCAAGAGAGAGCTTAGATTCTGAAGAACATTTTTGTTTCAGTTTTTCTTTGGGGAGGGACCTGTCTATTCCCTTGGTCTTGATCATTTTCCAGAGCTGGTCTAGAGTTCAGCCTTGCTGATTACCCTGAGAGCCTACCTCTATCATTCCAATAAATTCACTAGCATTTTACTTAGTATCTTGCTTTCACTTAGGATGCAAGCTAAGTTGCTGTAACAAAGAAATTTAAAAAAAATCCACTTCTGTCAAGTCAGTTGCGATTCATGGCGACTTCATGTGTTGGAGAATAGAACCATTCCATAGGGTTTCTTGGCTGTAATCATTATGGAAACAGATTCTCAGGACTTTCTTCTGTGAGGCCACTGGGTGAGTCTGAACTGCCAATCTTTAGGTTAGTAGTCAAGCACAAATGGTTTGTGCTGCCCAGGAACTGTACGGTACAAAGAACTCCCTCAATTACATGCATGTGTAGTTCCCTCTCAGTGATCAGTATGTATCAGGTAGACTGGCTGGGGGGCAGGCCTGGAGGGCAGGTGTACTCCCTGAGGCCATATAGGAACCCAGATTCCTTCTATCTAAAACACTGTGTTTTTTAATCCACTGGGCTACAATGTACTAGAACACTCCCAAATCCCCAGAATGCTGCGAAGATCTAAAAAGCCACCCAGGATAAGCCTCTCTCCATATGCATGGAAAGAATACAAGATTGGGAGTCAGAGATGCAGCTCCACCTGTACCCCTTCTGGCTGTGTGATCTTTGCCTCTCCAAGCTGAGCTTCCTCGTCCATAAATGGGACCTGCCCTGCCCTGTCTACTTTGCAGGATTGTTCAAAGGAGATCCTGCACTGGAAGATGCCCTGGAAATTGCCAAATGATGTGCAGTTACCACATAGGGGCATAGTCTGGAGGATCCATGCAAGTCAATGAGAGCTCAAACCAGGACAGAGAGGCATTTGCTTGAGGACTAAAGTCATGCAGGAGCCCGACGGTACAGGGGTCCAATGATGGCTTAGGAGAGAGGGGCTTCTCCATCAGAGACACAGGGGCTCAACCCTGACCCAGCTCTCTGGGCTCTCAGTTACAAGCCAGTCTCACTTCTGGATCCTTAGTTTCATCATCTTGAGAACAGACCTAACCATAGTCTCTATTCAAAGCTACTACTAATTATTGATCATTTATTGTGCACCAAGGGGGCAGTGGTACGGATAGAATTCTTGTCATCCTGGTGGCACATCCTGGTGGCTTAGCTGCTAGCCAAAAGGTCAGTAGTTCAAACCTATTTAAATGATATCATGGCGATGCAATCAGCAAAATTCAAATGTAGAAAACTTCACAGGACAAACAACCCAGATTTTTCAACAAATAAATTTTAAGGAAAAAAAAAAGTGAGAACTTACGTATTATGAAAGACTTAACAGATCTATCAACTGAATGGAACGGATTGAACAAACCAAATGTGAAGACATGACCCAATCAAAGACATCTGAACACTAACTGGATTTTGATGATTATACGGAATTGCTCATTTTGGGAATGTGATGGTGGTACTGCAAGTATGTTTATTAAAAGAGTACTTACGCTTTTGATTGTCCCACATTCTACTTTGGCAAGTATCTACTGGGATCTTAAAAGCTTGCAAGGGACCACGTAGATGCAATGATGGGTCTCTCCTCATCCAGAGCAAAGAAGAATGAAGAAAACCAAAGATTCACGGAAACAATTAGTCCAAGGGACTGGTACACCTTGTGATCCTCAGCCTATCCGACTATGAGACCAGAAGAACTAGATGGTGCCCAGCTACTACTGTCAACCACTTGGAGGGGGATCTATGTAGGAGATTCTGGATAGAGTGGGAGAACAATGTAGAACAAAACTCAAAATCATTAAAAAAAAAAAAAGGACCAGGTTGGCTGGTCTGATAGAGCCTGGTGGAACCACTGAGACTATGGCCCCTAGCTGCCCTTCAGGTCTGGAATTGAACCCACTCCTGTGGTTTCCAACCAAACAAAAGACAGGTATATTAGGTGAACATTTACATTAGGTAGATACACTCCTTGAAGAGAACAATCTGTGTGAGAATAGAAGAGCTGTATATGCACAGGAAGACAGCTCAGGGGGCATGAGTTCATGGAGGGAAGGACACAGGGAAGAGGTAACTATGGGGAGGAAGTGAGAGAGGAGCTGTTGCATTATGGTAAATTGTAGTCAATGTCATGAGACAAAGTATATGTGAACTGCTGTATGGAAAGTGAATTTGCTCTGTAAACTTTCACCCAAATCACAATTAAAAAAAAAAAAAAAAAGAGTACTTATGTTTTTGAAATACATATGGAAATATTTATAGATGAAAATATATTACCAAATCAAAACACGATGAGATATCATCTCACTCCAGCAATAATAGCAAAGTTCAACAGAACAGAAAATAAATGCTGGTGAGGTTGCGGAGAGACTGGAGCTCTTGTGCACTGCTGGTGGGATTGTAAAATGGTACAATCATTGTGGCAAATGGTATGGAATTTCCTTAAAAAACTGAAAATAGAAATACCATTTGACCCAGCAATTCCATTACTAGGAGTATATCCTAAAGAGGTGAGAGGCAGCGCATGAACAGACATATGCACACCTATGTTCATCGCAGCACAATTCACTATAGCAAAGAGACGGAAACAATCTAAATGCCCATCAATGGATGAATGGATAGCCAAATTATGGTACATTCACACAATGGAATACTATGCTACATTAAAGAACAATGAAGGATACGTGAATCATCTCACAACATGGATGAGCCTGAAGGACATTTATGCTGAGTGAAGTAAGTCAATCGCAGAAGGACAAGTACTGTATGAGCCCATTACTGTAAAATGACAAAGAAGGGTTTGCTTAAGAAAGGGAACTCTCTTTGTAGATTACCAAGGTAGGGAAGGAAGGGGAGGGATTAGTTTTGGGCTAGCTGGGGGCCACATACTGACGTGGGTAAGGGGAGGGATGGTATAGAAAGAGTGTGTGACCACCATGATAGCATTAGAAAAAGGGAGGACACTGAATTGTGCACATAAGATATAGATGACAGATGCTAATACCAACCAGTATATCCACAATACTGCATTACCTTTAACACCAAACACCAGGCCACAGATAAACACATGAACATCTGAGAAGATCAGATGGGGGTCAGTGAACAGTGATCCTCTAGACCAAGGATAGATTCAGGGGAGGCTAATCTTCCACAGATACCAGTGATACAAAATACCCATAATCCTTACAGAAACAACAGAAGACATTGAGCAATCCCTCACAGATACCCAGACACTGTGGGAGAGAGATCCAATGGATTTACCAACTCAGGACCATAGTACTAGGGGACACCAGACTCAATATGCACAACAAAATACATAAAAGTCTTGTTCCTCACCCTACATTGGTGGGTAGCAACTGAGGTCTTAAAAACAAGGGCATTTGGAAGCAATTAGCCCTAGGACATGATGGCCCTCAAGACCAGAAGAACTAGATGGTGCCCAGCTACCAATGCCAACCACTCAGTAAAGGATCAAATCTGGAGATCCTGGTTAGAGTGGGAGGACAAACATGGAAAAAAATCCAAAAACTCAATAATCACCAGAATTACTGGTCAGATGGGAGTCTGGTGAGACCCCCAGTACTATGGCCCTGGGATACATTCTGGGCCTGGAATAAAACTCACTCCCAGGGACTGGCTCTCAGCCCAATAGTAAACAAGATGTACATGCAGACCACTCAACCCAGGGTGATGCACCCAAATACTGTATGGAAATGCATCCCTTGGAGCAATCCACCATGGGGCACCAGAGGGACAACATTCGCATGGAGGAAACACAGGACACACAGGAGTGCATAACCATGAGGGGCATGGGGCAGGGGGTTACTGGTCAGGGAGGAGAGGAGGCTGGGTTAGGGGTGGGGATGGTAAATGGAGAGTGAAATTAAATGTACATGTAATGTTGAAAGTGAAACAAACATGCTCTATAAACTTGCACCTAAAGTACAATTTTAAAAAAATGCCCACCAACAGAAAATTTATATAACAAGGGGGAGCTCTGGTAGTATAGTGGCTAAGACACTTGCCTGCTAACCAGACCGCTGGCCTGCTAACCAGACGGCTGGCGGTTCAAACCCACCAGCCACTTCTTGGAAGGAAGGTTGGGCAATCCTACTTCCATAGTGATACTGCCTCGGAAACCTAAGGGAGGGGTTGCTATGAGTCGGGTTTGACTCGACAGCACATAACAACAACAACAACAACATATAACAAGGAGCTCTGGTAGCATAGTGGCTAAAGCACTTGACTGCTAACCAGAAGGCTGGTGGTTCAAACCCACCAACCACTCCTCGGAAGGAAGGTTGGGCAATCCTACTTCCATAGTGATACTGCCTCGGAAACCTAAGGAGGGGTCACTATGAGTCGGGGCCAACTCGATGGCACATAACAACAACAACAACAACATACATATAACAACTGGGATTTCCTTTAAAATTATTTAGGAAAAGAGGAAAGGGTAGGGATTATAGATGAAATGAGATTGGCCATGGCTTGATGTTTGTTGAAGCAGCTTTGTCAGAACATGGAGGTCATTAAACTATTACCTCTATATTTTTATCCAAAAAAATAATAAAAAGTTTTTTTTAAAAATAGGTTGTTGTCTGAAGTCTGAAAGGTTATACACAAAAATGTGTGAAATCAATGTGATATTACAGCCACACAGTTAGGCTTTCTCATTTTTCTTAAAAAGTCATGGTAGCACAAACAGTTAAGCTGTCAGCTGCTAACCAGAAGGTGGGCAGTGCAAACCCACTCAGTTGCTCTGCAGGAGAAAGACCTGGCTCTGTGTTCTTTGATCTGTTGTGTCAAAAAAGGCCAGAAAAAAGCCAGTCACTTGTGGGCCAGATGCAAGCTCCTCCCTCTAGCAGAGGCACTGCTTTGTCCCCTCAGCCCCTGCCTGCACTGTGGGGCTAAGTTGGGAATGAGGTAAAGGAAGGACGTGTGCTGTGAGCCAGCTCCACGCCGGGCACAGTCCCCGCCACTCCTCACGCAGTCTTGTGAATAAGCAAGTGTTGTTCCTCTTTAAAAAGTGGAGAAATGAGTAGAGTTACTCAAGGAGACAAGGCAAGGAGCCAATATGTGCTGACTCCTGTTCTGTGCTGGGCGTTTCCCCTTGCACCCAATCCCTACAGCCAACTCAGAGGGGTGGGTACTATTCACCTCAGTTTACAGAGGAGAGGAGAAAATAGCATCAGAGAGGTGAAGTAACTTATCTGAGGTTACTCTGAACACCAGCCCCCCAAACGCTGGGTCAGGGCTGGTCTTGACCCTTTCCCTGAGTGCTAACTCCCACAGTTCACTGTGCCCTCAAGTGAATTTGAGGTGTCCATCTGAAGGCAGGGCACTGTGACTGGGTGACTCAACATCCCCTGGCTCCTGGCTGAAGGGGGAACAGCCTCGTGAGAGGCAAGGGCCCACCAAGGGGCAGGAGGCCTGGGTGCTTTGTGAGGCCTCTGCCTTGTCACCACATCTGGATTCCTGGTCTGAGCAAAAGCTGCTCTCTGGCTAAGGAGACTGCATGAGACAATGGATAATGGAACGTGGCTTGTAAACTATAAAGTGTCATGCAATGTGCAGAGTCTTGGAGTGGTGGAATGAATGCCTGTGTCCACTCCCAAGGGACTGGGTTGCAGCCCTGCTCCTTACCAGCTGGAGTAAGTCATTTAATATGACTCAACCTATGGGTGATTCAGCAGCACTAAAGTGGGAAGGGTAAAGGACAATGTAAGGCAAGGGACATCATAGCCACTGGAACACCCAGAGGGCAGCTCCTTCCCACACTCCTACCCTAACCCAAGGCAACCCAGGCGCTCAGGAAAGCTCTCTGGAGGCCTGGCAGCTTGCTTCCTCACCCAGACTTCAGAAATCACACAATCCACCAGGCAGGTGAAGAAATGACCTCTCTCCTGCAGCAGCCTTCTGGTCCCTGACAGCTGGGTTGGCCAGGCCAGGGTCACCCTCAAGCTCAGCTACTCCACATGCCCTATCACACCAGGCCTTGGTGCCTCTGCTGGGCCTCGGGGAGGGAGCTGGTCTGGAGGGACAGGGAGGCCAACCCCCACCCTGCAGACATGACCTCCCACACTTACCGTGGTCTCTGCCTCACCCTGTCTCTTCTCACCGGCTCTGGACCTGCCATGGAGCTTTCCCACTCACTCTCTCCCTGTCTCTCAAATCTGTCTTTCTGGCTTCATAGCATCTCTCTCTCTCTCTCTCTCTCTCTCTCTCTCCCTCTCTCTCTCTCCCCCCCTGGCCATTTAGTTCCTCTTTTTCTTTTTCTCTGATTCCTTTGTCTCTCAAACTCCTTTTTCTTTCCATCCTAGTCCATACTCATCTGTTTATCTCCATATTCCTTTTCTGTCTCAGCCTCTCCTTTTCTCTTCATCCTTCCCTCTCTTTCCTTTCTGTCTCCATTTCTGTTTTTCTGTCTCTCTGTTCCTGTATCTTTATCTCTGTGTGTCTCTCTATCTCTTTTTTATCTCTATCTCTCCCTGTCTCCCCGTCTCCACCTCGATGTTTCCAGTTCTCATTCCTTTTCCTCCCTCCGTTTCTCTCTTGCTCATCTCCGCCTCGCTCTCGGTGGGTCTCCGGCCTTCCCGGCCGTGGATTCCCGGCCCCAGCCCCACTCACCCGCGAAGGCGCCCGCGGCGCGGAGCAGGGCTAGCCCGGCCAGCACGCAGAGCAGGGGCCGCATGGTGCCGGCTGGCCGAGCGCAGCGCCGCATCTGTCGGAGGTTGCCTCCCCGGGATCGCGTCGGCCCGCCCGGGAGGAAATGCGCGCGGTCGAAGCCAAAATTCCTGGGCGGCTCCGGGTTTTCTGGCCCCAACGAACCCGCCCCCCTAGAGGCCCCAGCGCACCTCGCGGGCAGCGCTGAGCCCAGAGACCCCGCGAGCAGAGGGGCCGACTTGCCAGCCTAGGTGCCTCCCCAGAAAAGGGCCGCCTCCTGAGTCCCCTGCGCCTACCAGGGGCCTGGCATAGAAGGAAGGGTTTTAGAGATGGGCTCAAGGCGACTGCTTCCGGGGCCCAGGTATTGATTATGAGCCCATTCCACACACGAAGAGACTGAAGCTTGGAGCGAAATATTTTTCTCAGTGTCATCCACATCTGTGGCAGAGCAGGGATTTGAACTCCTGACTGCTAGAATCGGGGAAGCTTTCTCTGTTCACTGACCAGTAATCAATTAACTCTATGTCTGGCCCTGAGAGAGGAGCCCCAGACGTGGTGGTGTCAACACGCTGGTCTAGTAAAGGGTAGTAAGGTTAAAAGTGTGTGTGTGTGTGTGTGTGTGTGTGTGTGTGAAGGTAAAATTATGAACCATACAGATATAAAATGAAAATATGCTAAAGATTATATTTAAATCATTTGTGAGGGAACCGGTAAGATGTTACAACCAAAGGAGAATCTAAAGAACAGACACTTTTATAGATCTGAAATACTGACACGAATATGCAAATGAAGGCAAAGTTAGTCTCTTCTACTGGGGTGCAGTGCCTAAGGAATTTGATTGCTAACCAGAAGGTTGATGGTTCAAACCCACCAGATGCTCAGCAAAAGGAAGATGGGGCAATGTACTTCCCTAAAGATTTACAGCCTTGGAAACCCAGTGCCGTGGCTGTGAGTCGGAATCGACTCAATGGCAGTGAGTTTGGTTTTGGTTTTGACTGAAAAGAAGGGAAGTCCACGAAATCTATAAGGGGTTGAATTTATACCCACCAAACCCAAAACCAAATTCACTGCCACCTGTCAATTCCAACTCATATTGACCCTTTAGGACCAAGGAGAACTGCTCCATAATGTTTCCAAGGCTATAAATTTTTATGGAATCCAACTGTGTCATGTCTCCCATAGAGCGGCTGGTGGGTTCCAACTGTCCACCTTTTGGTTACCAGCTGAATGTTTTAACCATTACACCACCAGAGCTCCTCACATAGCCACAGACAAGAACTATTTTGCACTGCTTTCAGTTATCTACCATCTAGAGAATTACACTAAAAAGTATAAAAGTAAAATAGCTTGGAGAGTCTCTGGGTAGTGTGAGCAGTTAATGTGCCCAGCTGCTAACTGAAACACTGCATGTTCGAGTCCACTCAGCGGTGCCTCAGCAGAAAGACCTGGCAAACTACTTCTGAAAATCAGTCATTGAAAACTCTACGGGTCACAGTTCTATTCTGACATACAGGGTCCCCATGCGTCAGAATCAACTGGATGGCAACTGGTTTTGGTTGAAGTAGCTAAAAAGAAAGAAAAGGCACAGCACCCACAGAAACAGAATCAGAATGTTTAGCAAATGCTTAAGTCTGTGCTCTATGGTGTTAGATTGACTCTGGGTGAGAAAATAGAAATGATTCACATATTCACATTCTCTGCCCTCAAAGAGTTCAGGGTCTGGTAACCATCAGAATAGTAAGGAACAGGTTCAGTTTTGATTGACTTCTACATACACCACTTCTAGCCACCTTCACTGCAACCCTATGAGGCGGCACAGCAGTATGTCTGTTCTGCAAGAAACTGAGGTTCAGAGAAGTTAAGAACCTTCCTGGAAGTCACACAGCTAGTGTAAAGTGGAGCCAGGATTTGAACCTAGTTCTGCTGACTCTGCAGCCTGACCTTAATAATGTACACTGGATTCCTGAGAGCACCACTGTCTTTCTCCATTCTAAGTAAGTCCTGGGTAAGAGCTGGGTGGGTTTTTCAGTGCCTAAGGCATTTGACTGCTAACCAGAAGGCTGGTGGTTCAAACTCACCAGCCACCCTTGGAAGGAAGGTTGGGCAATCTACTTCCGTAGAGATACCATCTCGGAAACCTAAGGGGGGGTCGCTACAAGTTGGGATCGACTGCACGGCAGTGAGTTTTGTTTTGTTTTGTTTAGTTTAGAACACAACGATCTAACTCTCGTCCTCAAGCCACACCCACTAAAAAAGTGTGAAAAAAAGATTTTAGTGAAAACCAAAACAAAAGTTGCAGCCCTACCATCCACTGCAGAGCCCTGAGTCCCTCACCTGACTGCAGATGGAGCTCCTTCATCACTATGCCTGGAAGAACGTCTTTATCCATCAGGGGTCCCCACTGCAGATCAAGGCTTCCTCTCTGCCTCCTGTGTTCTTCGCTGTGGCTGTGCAATTGTCCCCTCCTGGTCCCATCCTAGCCAGTAATTCTCCAGAGCAAGATAACAGCCTCAGGAACAGATACTCTGATTTTGAGTCAGTGGATCTGGGATAGAGCTTGGGACTTTTTTTTTTTTTTTTTTTTTTAGGATTTGGGTGAAGATTTACAGAGTAAATTCACTTTTCATACAGCAGTTCACATATACTTTGTCTCATGTCATTGACCAAA